CGAATCGTGTGGCTGTTGGTTGTTTTAAACTCCCTGTACTTTTGTTGTAGTTCTTGTGTTTCCCTTCCCCTCCTTTGGGTTTGTGCGCCGCCCTGAGTCCCGCTGGGAATAGGGCGGCATATAAATAAAATGAACCTTGAACCTTGAATCTATTTATTCTACTTACAGTGACAGTAACTTTTCCATTAAATTGGCAAATTGTTGTTTTAGGATGAAAAGTGAGCATTTTAGGTGTCAGTAAATTGTTTTGCATTTCATATGTGACAACAGTAATTCTACAACTAGTCAAACAATAAATATTGGAGGAGGAGTCTCTATTTGAAGGACGGGGTGAATCACGTAGCACAATATGGATCTATTTTTGCATTTAACCCCATAACTTTAAATGTAGGAGCAGAGAGTTGCAGAGAAGGGACATAATAGTGGGGAAGCAATTGACTTTTTCTTTACAATGATTCTCCCTACAAATGCTGCTTGTTGTTGGGCTTCGGATGGAACCACTCTGATGGGGAAAGAAAAATTTGACACACTTTCTCTGATTCTAACACATCCTTTCATTCTTGGTGAATAGAAGCTTTTTACTACATTTGCCAAGATGACAGGTCCATGCTGTGACCCTAATTCAAGATCGGCAAGGGGCAAACAAATTACTCTGAGTTTACAGTAGGACTTTCTCAGATTTATTTTTCAATCTGAAATGTCTGAAAATACACCTGTGAATACTCCAAATAAGCACTATTGGAGCACTATTCAGAAAAACTTCATTAGGATCAGGATGACTAAATTTCTGCAGCCTATCCCAAACTCTGCCTTTTTGACTAATGATCAATATAAAATTAATGTATACCAGACTGTGTTCTTGACTGGGCATTGCACTTAATCCTGTGGCGGCCATATATGTGCTTCCAATTGTCTTGATTTTTTCAACTCCACTAAACTTGGGCTTCGATAACAGCTGTGAAGAAACAGATGTCTGATTACAAAACAATCACATATTAGCTTTGTTAATACACACTTTCTATATTTGTCACTAGATACTTCTTTAAAAAAAAGCCCAAGTCCAGAATCACCATTTTTTTAGGGTAGTCTAGATCAGCGATTCTCAACTTGTGGGTCACGACCCCTTTGGGGGTCGAACTATCCTTTCACAGGGGTCGCCTAAGACCATCGGAAAACATGTATTTTCGATGGTCTTAGGAACCGAGACACCTGCGTGCCACTGTTTGGAGCCAGGGGAGCAGCGGCAGCGGCGGGCGCTGCCTTGCGAAAGGGAGGGGCTACCTGACAGGAACGGCGGTGCGAGGACAGCCAGCGTCCAGTCAATTATGACATGAGAGGCATTGATGGGCGGATCAGACGGCTGCGCTTGATGTGGGGAGGGGAGGGGGGAGAATGGAACGTGTGAGCACCAGCTAGGCAGCGCCCTGAGAGGTGGCTGAGCTCGGTCTCCCAGCGGGGAGGGGAGGGGGTGCCGGGAAGAAGGTGCCGAGAACCAAGGCGGGAAGGATGGCAACTATGTCCCTTCAGTCCGCAGCCGCCTCCTCCTCGGAGACTCAGAAGTTCACGTGGGTGCTCTGCAGCAGCTGGCTCCAGACGTTCGGGTTTTCCCTTTTCTGTAAAAACCTCCATCCATTCACAAGGAGACCCGCCTTTGTTTCCTTCCCGTGATATCTATGAATGAATGAGTGGTTGGCAAACTTGGGAGCGAGAGGATTCCAGGAGTTTAGGGGCGGAGGGGAAAAAAGGTAGTCGTCACAAAACATCTTCAGCAGCCGCTTTGAAAAAAAAATAAAACTAAAATCTTTTTAGTTTTAAGTTTTAAGCTT